GTGACGCAGAAAAAACCTAAATTATCAAACGGGTATCGTAAAACTCGACTTCGGAACTATACATTTGATAGAGATGGAGATGCATCGTTAAATAAACCTGTTTCATTTACAATGTTATCTCCAACTCACCCATTTCTTCTGAACTTTTCTCTGACTTTCCCGCCATCTCACCTGAAAATGGCTGTGTTGTTGACATTACAATTCCTATAAAGAAACACACAGTCCACCCTTAACTCCAACTAAACTAACAATAACTCTATTTCTTGAATAACATGACGAACACATAGTATGGCTAAGTATCTATTACAAAGAAGTTCTACGATATAATATTAAGTCATCTGTAGAAAATGTGTTAATATTAGGTACTATTAGAACTAGTCCAGATAAGATATTATCAGGGTATCTCACTACGTAAGTACCTACCTATAAGTATGCTTCTTACTAAACCGACCATGTTACCAGTCACAAGAGTTTGCAGCGAAAATTCACTTTTGTAGGACGCCGTTTGACATTTCATACTTTCTATCTGAAAGGCGGTTGAATGCAGTGAGGTATCATTTATAAGATTGTAACATTATTTTCAATATAAATTTCTATGTTATTTGAAGTTCAAATTGTATTTTTTTTAATTATCTACATTAAGTTAGACATAGTTAATTAATGTTGTAAATTACTTATTTAATTTTGTAAATTAAATAAGTGTAAATTAAATAGTTGTAATTCAAATAAAATTAAATTCAAATGAGCCGATAACTTATCGATGCTCTATACATACGTAGAAAAAAACCTAAAATAGTACATCTAAAAAGAAATAGTACTTATAACTTTGAATAACACGTATAAGGATAACAAAACAATAAACAAATATACATAACTGTTAACCCCACGCCGTAACTTCCCAACAAAAATTCCTTCGTAACATCGGATTGACATTTAATAATGTGACTTCCAAGCGTCCTAAGTACACACCTGTTTACTTGAGACCTTTACTACTAACTTAACGATAACATATTTTCATATCAAGTGCTTTAAGTAAATAACAAATAGGTTTCATGTTGATTTTTATTGATAACACTTCGGTAAACGTCGGTAAGTCGTGTGCAAGGTTCAATACACCCGAAATTGAAAAATAAATATTTAAATGTAATAGCTAGGAGTTGTGGATTTTTATGTATTTTAGTTTGTTAGATAATAATTTGAATTAAATAGTTTGACCAAAGAGACCAAAAAGGATAGTGACACCCATAAAAAAATATGAACCTTGAGTTGTAAGTAATGGGTTAAAGTTATAACAGTCAATATCGTCAACTATATGAACTCTGAATTAAATCTGAATCGACAACAAATAGATAATATGATTATGTTGCAATTAAAATAATAATATCTTTTTTTTAAATGGGGAAAATCAAATTATTTCTCGCACCTTGGGAGAAGGCCTCGAAGACCAGAAGTAGGAACGGGGTGGTTTTTAATAAATACGAGTTTGACACTTTCTCTCGCCTCACCCAAGGCGGGAGAAGTCTATGGGTGATTTTCCCTTAAAAAAAAAAACTCTTAGTGACTGAAAACTACCATGTTCTGATCTTCTTCGAGCTGAAGCACCGTAATGTCGTCTGCAGCCCCGACCAGAATGATATCTTAGCACACAATGTTCTCTCATACAGTTTAATCTCATCTCATATCATTGCCACGAAGAACTTAACGGGTTACCGGGGCTCCTGCTCGAAGTGCAGGAGTTGGAACGGGGTGGTTTTTAGTCAGTAAGAGCAGACTCTTACTTAGTTCCTACTTCTGGTCTTCAAGGCCTTCTCGCCCGCTCAAAGTGCGAGAAGTAATTTAATAATTTTGTCAGAAACACTCCCTCCCATCTCACCTAGGCGGGAGAAGCCATTCGATGATATGCCCTTAAAAATCTTATATCATTAAGTAATAATATTTTCGGTAAAATATGGATGAAGCTCAATCTCAACGTCTGTTTCCAATAGGATAGCTACAAAATAAAGAAAATAGTCTTTGTGCATTACTCAAAACAAGAACCAAAGCAATCTACTCCACTTTTATGCAGAAAGAGTAAAAATAAAAACCTTTAATTTTAATACAAATAAACGTTTAAACTGATAATATTATAATAATCTAAAACAGAAGCTTCAGTGTAATAAAACTGAGCAAATCTAATCGTGAGACGTGGCACGATTTAACCTTTCATTGGTGTAAGGAGTCTCACTGAACAACGAGTTATGACTTACGAACTAGCGATGGCCTTTATGCCTACCACAATTTCTATTAGGTCCTTTGTAAATACTTTACACTTTACATAAATTGAAGTTTTCAATAAAATAACCGAACGTCAATTAGATATCTTAACAGAACAGGTATAACATCGTTTTTACAATGAAAGAACTAAAACCAGATTTTATTCGCATGGTTTACTCGACTAATTTCAAGCTGATCCAGGGACCATAATCATGAGTAGTATGGGCGATGGCACACAGCGCAGTAACTTATCAACGGGGTCTGCCTGAGCATGTAAACAAGCATAAATGAATAATTCAAACTTAATAATATGTCACGTTACAGAGCTCTACCAATAATTATTCAATTCTATATTGAGACTTTAGTTTTCCCATATAATATACGTATGATTTCCCAATGCTGTCATGGGACTATTATTCACCATAAAATAAATCGCAATATATTTTTACTGGTCTGGTATTTTCCAAGTGCTGTTTAACTACAAGTGTAGGAATTTTGGAATGTTTATTATTGAAACGGCAAGATCAGTGCGTACATATTTTCTTACTTAGCGTTACTTGTCAGTTGTAAGTAAGTACATACGGCGTATTATGTATCTAGCTCAACAACGTGGGTGGAATTCTCGGTTTACTTTTCACACAAAATTCTTAACATTACAGTCAGTATATGTATGTATATCATCACCATATTACGTCGTCTCCACGGAATTTATGGCTGTTGTCATAAAATAGATACGTGATACAAAAAATAAAAGGACACCCGCAATAGCTCGGGCGTATCCTTGCTCCTTGCGTCACCGTATCAACAAAGCGGTGCCCACGCGCTAATGTATTCAACGCGGCGATTGATGAAGTATAAAATTTCTTAGTACCGTCTCACTCACAATGGAATTATGATAATTTATCGGTTGGCTTGTGCCGGCCGAGTGTGTGGGAACGCGCGCGGCACGGGCTTTCCCACGACGCCGCGCTACGACGAAGAACGTCTCATTGGCTACGACCAGAAGCGTCGCTTACGCCGTTATCCGCTCGCGTGTCAAAGTGGCTTCAGTGTCGACAGGTCGTAAGTATCAAGTGGCCCGCGCTTAGTGGCACGATTCACCTATTCCGAAGGCGGTGTTGACACATAAGACGTTCTGCCGTCTAGCGGCGTAAGACAGAATTGGAGTAAGTAGCGTCACGGCGGCTTCGACCGCACAATGGGTCGGTGTCGAGTCGACTAGCGGTGCTGGGAACAGACTCACACCTTTGCAAGGTGATAGTCAATGTTATTGTTTTGACTAACTAATTAGGATGATGTTTTGTTATTCAAGGATGTTGTTTGTGATGAATGGTCGGTATTATGTCGTGTTCTAGGATTAGCATGAAAAATTACATTATTAATATTATAGTTGCAGAAACTTGTGTTGAGATTAAAATGACTGCGAGATAGAATTAATCATGTCAACTAAATCACTGATAATATGAAATATGATTTTCTCGATAAATGGTTTAGAGAAAAAACTAGTAACTAAGACAGAGGTAGATAGGAGAGATATTTGAAAAATCTAACTCACATTGGTGTTGTAGAAACATGCATAGAGTTTGTGGTGAGCCGTGCAGGCAGTCACGGCAACATTTGCCGAAGTAGGCCACAAGCCACAAATAATAATTAATAACACACGTAAGCAGTAAAAAGTCGGTGCGACAGTAATAATTTCTATTCGTCACTCTGTCTGTATGACCGACGGAGGCGATAACGCGCCTCATGTCGCCGTAGCACTGCGCCCGCGCCGCCGACACAGGGCTGTCACTTGTTACAAATAAAATAATTTTTTTTCACAAAAATATTACTTGCTATAAATTAATAGCTTACAAAAACGAGTTTATGCCAAATAATGTCTTTTTCTATTCGTCCATTGACCATAACAACAAAAAGAACTTACTACAAAATTGTAATAAGTTTTAAAATGCAAGTTTTTTGTTCAGTTTAAAAAGGGGGAAGGGGGGAATATCAAGGTGTGGTGGCAGTTGTTTAATTCATCGCCACGAGTCGCCTTGTCCGTGTGACATCATTGCGATAGTTTGGCGCGCGGATCAAGGGGAGCGTCTTGGCGTGCGTGTGCGCAGGGTGACGTAAGGAGGGTGCGCGTGGGAACTCGTGACTAGCCAGCTGCTATCACCTAAGACCCTCAGTACACTGAACAGCTGTTTCATCTTACCGGCATTGATTTAAACGTAATAATAGTAATGAATTCACGACGTAGAATTTAAAATAAAAAAAAGTAATAATTTATTATAGAGCGACAATTTTATTTTTTATTTATACTAACCTTACGTAAAAATCTTTGACATGTCTACTAGTTTTTAATTAACAATTAATTTATCTAGAAGGAATTATCATGTACCAAAAAGATTTCTAATATAAGTCTGACTTGTTGTCATTTTTTAATTTTAAAGTAAAGACAAACATAAAATTATTATTATTAATTATATTATCTGTCCACTGACTGGTACTTCAAACAATAATTATTATTATCAAAAAGTATATAATTTAATTAGTTTAATTATTTTTCATGATACTAATTAAAATAAAAATTCTAATTTAATCACACATAAAATTTCAAAACGAAATATTCAAGTAAATAAATATACTTTTATTTACAGAATCCTGCGAGTGACACCCCTACTTTTATCACGGGCGTTTTGCCACAATCGGTGTAGGGCGCATAAAAGCAAGCGACGGGCGGCGCGCGCGCCATTCGCTCAGAGACCGTCGCGCGCGCACCAATGATCCTACCCGCCCGTACTATGTCGCCGCCGCACGGCGCCTTCCACCCGCCTGCGCACGCGCAACCTGACGAGGAACCCGTCTCCCGAACTTACCAATATAGAAAAGTTATGAAGCCAATGCTAGAACGAAAGAGGAGAGCCCGCATCAACCGCTGCCTTGATGAACTCAAAGACCTTATGGTTACCGCCCTGCAAGCTGAAGGAGAAAATGTCTCCAAACTAGAAAAGGCTGACATCCTGGAACTCACCGTTCGCCACCTTCACAGCCTCAAGAGGCGAGGACAGTTAGTGCTGAAACCTGAAATGTCCTACGCAGAACGTTTTCGTGCTGGATTTACTCAGTGTGCAACAGAAGTGTCTCAGTTTATTGCAAACGCCACCTTAGCTGCCACCGCAATGCAACGTCAAGGTCCAGTAGACCCTCAAGCTGGAGCGAGATTGCTGCAGCATCTCAGTAACTGTATAAGAAGGTTGGAGAATCCTCAAGTAGTGCAGCCTCAGCCAATAGCACCAAATGGTGTTGCGAGGCCAACACCGCTGCAGCCGATCCCGCCGCCCCAGCAACCTCCCCAGCAACCACCGCAGCAGCAGCAGGCGGTGCTGCAGAGGACATCGTTACCAGATCGAGGGCTAAAGAGGCTGGCGGAGCCGATGGACGCGGAAGCTGCGCTCGCAAAGCGTGCGTACGCACCGCCCTCGCCGCCTCACAGCCCCGCCTCCGAGTCAGACTCCGCCCAGTCGATGTGGCGGCCGTGGTGACGCTGCCCAGCTCCTCGCATGCCCAAGGACCGTGTGACAACGTGTGATAATCATTTATATTGTTGTTTGTTTCTATTAACGTTCCTAGAACTGATGTGTGTTTACGAAGTATGGATTGTTCTCGCTTTGCTTGTTGAAGTTTTTCTTTTTTATTAATTTAATAAATTAAGGTTTTTTTGTTCAGTAGTAATCTGTTATTTGTATTCCTAACTTCAACGTCTTCCGCGTCGGTTAAAGCATTTACTTGTACGTTTAAGTACCGCGTAGTGTTAGTTAGCACCTAAGTTGTACTGTGATAATTAATTCCCAGAAAGGAGTTGTTAGGATAGAGAATTAGAGGATGTTTACTGTAGGCTATTTGAAATGATGGAAGAAAATAAACAATGTTTGCAGTAATATTTGTTTTGTTTCGGTAGTCACCTTGTACTTGTACTAACAAAGACTTTAATATATTTATTTATTTTTACTATAAACTAACCATATATTTATTTATGAACTTCTATGTTCCTAATTAAGCTTCATTTCACAATGTCTCAGTTCCGCAATATCTCATCCACCGACTGTCTAATTACTACACAAGCACATCTTCATTTCCTTATCAAAAGACTCAATTCACATCTTAATTAGATATTGCAATACCTCATAAATAAAGGTCTCATTTCCTACAATCTCTTGGTTGCTTCAGAAAAAACTCATTACCAAGCTAAAATATATCTTATAATTTTGTAGTTTCAGTCTAAATTGCGTAAACGAATAACACGTTGCACATGTTCAGTAAAAATGTAATTGGAGTGATGTTTTATTAAATATTGGAGTAAATTTCTTTGCATTGTTAGTGGGTGTAGTTCACACGATATTCAACGACCGTGGTAGATTTTATTACTTGAGAGCAACTATAAAATTATACCGTGTTAGAACATCGACCTGCTTTGAAAAAACAATCTAATCTATTTGAAAAAACGCGACTGTAATTCTTTGCAATAGGCACTTATTATATTCCATGATTAATAACGGAAAATGGTAATGAGACAATATTTTCCTAATTGCCACAGGAAGTCTATAATAAATCTTCTTTATTAAGTCTTCTTTAAGGTTTTGCCCATACTTGCTTGAGATCGATTTGTAATTATCGATGCAATAGTAACGTCAATCAATAAAGACATAATTGTCAAATTAGTACTTCCTCTATAAATAGACGATACTAAAATCATTAAGATTATCATTAAAATCTAGTGGCAGCTCACAGCTGGATTATTAGCCTTTATGTACGGTTTGCTATAATGTCCATGTTCGGCTGGCGAGTTTTTTCACAATTTAAAAGGTTCAGATTTCTCATACAGCATTGTCAGCCCAGCCTGCTATATCAGAACCAGACTCCTACACACGGTGCGTTGCGTTCAGCGCGTACCTCATAACGCCATCAGACCACCACAGATGGGGCCCAGTAGGACTGTTGCCGATACGGAGCCGTGGAGGACTTAACGGGTTGCCGGGACCCCAGCTTGAAGTGAACAAGAAGTAACGGGGTAGTTTTTAGTCAGTAAGAGTTTGACACACTTCCTCTCGCCTCAACCAAGTCATTGGAAGATTTCCCCCCCTCGAAAAAAGACAATTAGGTCTTCTAATACCTACGTAAATATAACCATGACACAAAAATATGACTCTGTAAAATCACATGTCACTGCGCATCTGTTAAAAAAAAAACGTGACACTTAAATACGAAACCATGAATCGTAATATTATGAAAATCGAGAATGTAAACAGTGGTCAAAGTGCTTCCGATGAAAGATTATAATGTCACGTTAGCTAAGGCGTGATGTTATTCATGACCTTTCATTTCTTAAAGAGGTAGGCTAACGAAACGAAATGTGATGACCACTAATCACCAGATTTATTATGAGTCCCATCATCATATAAAACACCCAAGCCTATACACAGGATAAAATCATCAATACTTATTAATATTTTACAACACTCATAAATCGTATACCTTTTCTTTCCACGACAGCTAAGCTTGCGACGATGCGATACCAGCCACAGTATATCGTGATTAAAATTAACGGTAACCAAAATTGTGCTACTTTACACACTAACCTGTGCTACTGAAGACTTGATGAAAATAATAAAAAATATGAATTTATCAACACCTACTTATTTAACAGTTAAGTTGTATGTCAAAGTCTTCACGACGTTATATCTCATACTTATTATTAAATTAAAAACATAAGTAGCCAAAAGGACTGCTATTGAGGCCAGTCTCTTTGAGGCTGCGTAACTGAACAGGAGTTATTATATACACAGTTACATAGAGGCGCTTTCTGTATCCTCACTACTATAACCCAATAAGACGGCCAACTGTCCTAAATGATCGTAGTCACTAATAGGTTCAAGATGGTGCAGACTATAAGCAACACCAATCTTTAGACACACTAATAAGTAATATATGATACGTTATTCATGATAATATAGATGATAAAACACTTTCTGGCGAAACCCAGAAATCCGCATGTCGAGTACCCGATGATTAAAGTATAAAATGGTTAAGAGATTTTATAGACTTGAGATTAGTTAAAGATAGCTTCCATTCTAAAACTAAGTTTCTTAATTATGTGAAGTGATTACAGGTCTTCAAGTAATCAGACACTTTAGTGACGCTCTAAAGTAATTTAACACGCCCAATTATGCTATTGATGATAGTGGACTATGGTTGAAGGAAGAGCTGGAGAAAGGCCGATTAGATTTAATAAAAACTGATGTTCGGTTTCAAACTACTTATGATAGAAATTGCTTAGAAGTTAAAAGTTAACGAACTGATAGAATGATACAAACCAAATACTTTGTTTACTTAATGAGCGAAAAATGTTAAATAAATATTAATAACCGCTTACAAATACAATGGACATTGTACTGCAGACATTATTTAGTCTCCAATTTCACTTATCAGCCAAACAAGTCCGAACAAGACCTAGACAGGAATTCATTAAGAAAACAAGCAATGAGAAATAATGCTACACAATCAAACAAACAGTATTATTTAATTAACGTTGCGACCAAATCGAGCGCATCCAAAAAAGCCGTTCGTGTTACCAAGCCTTTAGAAGGAGCGATTACGGACGGTAAGACGACGCACGCGCATGAGAATACAAATATACGCAGAAAACGAAAAATTTCGCTATAAACTTTTGGTATGGATTGGAATGTCTATTTTTGTTGCTAAAAAAGTATTTGGTATTCTAAAATGATATGGAATATTTGTTTAATCTTTGAGTAGACGAAAAAAGGTCCATAATACAATGATGGGATCTAACAGTGCCTATAAGTTTTTTTTTCACATTATAAGATTACGGTCGTTCTAAATAAGCAAAGAAATACTCTTTACTTACAATAAATTGAAGATTAAATTACAAAAAAAATGACGACAAGCAAATAACAACCTAAAAACAATGAACATTGAATTTATTTTACTAAACAAACAAAACTGTGTCCGCGAAACCAAATTACACGCATTTAACTTGAAATAAATATTCTTTTAAAGTGAGCCTTCTGCACGTATCCATTCGCGGCGCATGGGCAGGAATTAGTTCGGTACAGTCTAATTGGAACGGACTTGCGTGCGCGCAGCCGTGGGAAACGCCCGGTGAAAATACTATGGATCGCCGCAATTTGAGTTTTAGTTACGGCAGTAAGCATTTTTTTGATACCAAAATGGTTGAACGTGATTTTTGATGTGCGATGAAATGTAGGTACTTATAGGTACTTATAGGTAGTTGTTTGAGAATTAATGATTGATGGGTTCACCCGGTTCACCGTATCGTGTGTTGGTAAGTTAAGTGAGATTTATTTCGTGAAATCGTTTATAAGCGTGGTAGCTTATTACGTATGACGTTGTAGATATAGATTTAGAAACATTCCTTAAAGAAAATTATTTGTTGAACCATATTTGTTAGGGTTACCATCGAGATCAAATAAAAAACTAGCTACGACTAAGATCAGGAAAGTAAACTGTAGCGACATAATTAAAAAAAAATGTCATACACAATACATACCTACATATAACAGAATAGATTATGAACTGAAATATAAATTGAAAATAAAACAATAAAACTAGTAAGTATAGTTTTAATAAATTCGTTACTCTAAAACGTAATGATTTACGAAACGACCATAATTTAGTACCTACTTGCCAACTACTTTCGAATTGTCAAAAACTACTTTTTGACAGTTCGAGATTTTTATGAACTGTGTACGAGATTGTGTATTGTGACGTCACGTTTTTTAGCCTTAAACAGCATACTTATTTCTTAAAAAATATGTTGGAAAATACTAAAATTAAGTTGGTCATAAAATCAATTAATAAAAGTATTATAATTTTCTAATATTTTATTGTATTGAACAGTCGAAATAATTTATTTTTGATTAAGATAAATATCTACTCAATTACATATACGGAAATTTACAATGGCCAATGATAAATACTAGAGCCAGTTTATTGATAGTAACTAACCGGATTCCTAATTAACAATTACTCTGCTCAGCCTCATAACTAAAATGGAGAGATAATGTCATTAACATTTTTAACACTGAGCATCGCAGTTAAAGCCATGCAGTATAAGAACACGTTTATAAATTTTATAAAAATAGTTGTAATGGATATTGAATGTGTAAGCTTAAGTGGTTTGCAAATTGGCAAGGGATTAAATTGACCTGTATGTATAATAATCACAGAGTAAGTGAGAGGTCTATATCATCGTCTACCAACCTCTGGTAAGCGGATCCCTGGGGGTCCGCGAGTATATGAATGGGGGTCCGCGAGTATATGAATGGGGGTCCGCGGTGTCATCTCTGGACCACACTTAAATCGCTCATTAAACTGTCAAACACCAAGCGGTCACCGGTGACCGCAACCTATTGTTCTATAATTCTATCTATAATGACGGTACTCGACGAGTTAATTGCAAAAGGGCTGCAAAAACAGCTAACAAAGTAGATTCTGATATCCATTATTTTGTTGCAAAAATGCAACACTTTAATTTGTTCGTTTTTTTTTTCATATTTTTCATATTAATAAACAGTTAAAATTACATTTTGTAATTGTTTTATTTCGTATCTGTAGTCACTGAAATAAATACATAATCCGTTTATTTTTTGTTATTTTCGTAAGGGGGTTCGTGAAAACTGATTTTGATTTCCAAAGGGTCCCGGGGCTGAAAAGGCTGAGAAACGCTGGTCTACATGCCCAACTCACTATTAAATATCGTCATCATTTTTGGGGTAGGTACTCTCCTCTCCGGAAACGATAGTGTACATTTATTTATTTATTATATGAATTAAATTAAAATTTATCTAATTTCTCTACATTACCAAATTTACAATAAATAAGAATAATA